AGGGAAAGGAACACCAGCAGTAATGCTTTAACTCTGTAGCCTGCACTGACATCCTGTGACTGGGTACCTGCTTCATGCCCACCGTTAACCGTGATTGCATGGGCAGCACCACTAAAATTATAGGTCCATTAATTAATTTCTAAATGGTGGTGGAATTCCCCAGGGAGTGCGTACAGTATGAGGACTCTATTAATTCATCTTGATTAACATTATCACAGTGAATACCGAATGAATTCATAACGATCAGGCAATTATTTAAAAGTGTGACAGATGAAGTGTAACCCTAGAAGCACACTCAGGCGGTGCTGGCTGATCTTCTGATGCCGGCACTGCACGAGGACAGCCTTGGAGAAGGGCAGAAAGCTGGTGCATTGGCAGTCAGTAGATGTTTGGGGTGTAATCCCCAGGTAAGGAAAGCTGGAGTAACTCCCCTGGTCCCTGCAAAATGCTCACTCTTGTTATAAACCTAAAAATTCAGTGTCTGCTGGCAGGTTTGGAGATGTCCTGATGTTGTCCTAGACCTGAAAGTGAGAAGTTGGATCTCACTAAGCTTTGGTTTTGAGCAGTTCTTTGGTTTCACGTGTGATAGCCACCTTATCTGTCAAAAAAAGGTCTCCTTCCCATTGCATCCATCCCAGATCACTGCTGCCGCCCACCCACTTTGCCAGCCAGGAGCCTTGTCCTTGTCCTTAAACCAGTCCCGCTGCCTCCCCATCAACTCTGTTTTGGGGAACAGTTTTGGGCTAAATCCTGCATTGCTGATTCCTTTTGCCTAAATATTCACAACATATAGCTGGCGTTTTATCCTCTAGCATAAACCATTGCGTCTTTTAAGTTACAGAGCCAGGGTAATGGGCCTCATTTCCCTAAAAAATACCTTGCTCTGGAGACCTAATTTGTAGCTACATAAAGGCATAGCAGATTCCGTCTGGGGAAGTATCTCTCCTGTAGCCCAAAGGTATTTGTATGTCATGGAAATACAGTAAAACCCTGTAAACTAAGTACTATAGCTCTGGTGAGAGAATAACTGTTAAAGGCATCCTGCGTGGTGCTGAGCAGTGCTGCGACCGGCAGAGTGATGCTGGGAAGAAGAGGGGTGAGGACCACGTTCGTACCCAAGAACCTGTGCCAGAAGGGTAAAAGCAAAGGGTCTCTTACATAGCTAAGAAGTTGTCTCAAAGGATTAAAATCAACGGGACCTCTTGAGCAGCTGATGGAGCTCTGGAAGTGTTTGATCCCAACAGCTGGAGGGTCCCCATGTGAACGTGCCAAGAGCAGACCCGGACAGACCCAGAGGGATGGACCTTCTTGACCACATGCTCCGGGAAGGAGCCTGGCCAGGGCAGGCGAGGCAGCGAACCCGCGGAGGTGAGAGGCAGGGGGTGGCCGTGGGGTGCTGCCGGAAGGACCGGCGATCGCTTCAGGGCTACGAGGCTTTGCTTTTGCAATCAGGTCTGGGGGATCTTGGCTCGAAGGGGCGAAAGCCTGCAGAAGCAGAAGGTTCCTTCCGGTGTGCATCTCTTCTTGCTGCTCCCTGTTAAAAACATTTAAGATAGATCCTGACGCTGAGTTCACGGTGAACGAGCCTCGTGGACTCTGAGGTGTTGCAGCTATAATAAATAAGTAACCGGGAGCATTTTCCCCCCATGGATTACTGCCAGCTGTGTGAGGTTTTGGGTTTTGTACTCTGTCTCCCACTAAATACCGGAGAGTCAACAAAATTAAGATTACCGTCAGGGATCTTGACTAATGCAGGGATTATTATTGAGGGGGTGGCTGTTTGCATCCAGAAGCATAACTCGCTCTGCTTGATCTGTTACTCGTTAGGGTCCAAGGTGTCTGTGTATCAGCAGCCTTGTATTTTAAAGGAAAAAAAGTGGAAACTGCCTTTGAGTTAGGGGAGCAGAGGTCTTGTGAAGAGGTGGGAGTAAACACCAAGGGTCTTGGGATAAAGGCGTCTTGCGTGCGATGCCATTAGCTGGGGTTAACTTCAGAGGCGAAGGGGGTCATCGCCGACTGCAAACTCCACGGCCTCGCGTTGCAGCGCGTCGCTATCTCGTGTAACGAGGTCCCGGCCCCACCATTGCTGGCAGCGTCGCCGGATCGCACAGCGAGCAGGAAATACCAGCGAGGAGCCCTTTCTCATGCTCCCGCCGGCCGCCCTTGGTCAGCTCACAGGGAGCAGACGTTGGGAACCGGCGCAGCCCGGCCCCGCTCTGTCTCCTGCCTCTCCTTCCCCCAGCGCTGCCTCCGGACACGAGCGGCTCCTCGCGTGAGCCAGACTGTCTCTGTAGGACCTGCTGGGCTGCCCAGGTTGTTAACAGGGCTACCACTTGCCGAGCTGAAGCCTGCAGCCCGAGCGTGCTGTGAAGCACTGACGGCAGCGTTTGATGCCGACCAGGTGAAATGGATGTTGGTGCATCTCTGGCAGAAAGCTTGTAGCCCATCTGGAGACCAGAAGGCTGTCCTCCCCCAGCGGCTGTAGCTCAGGCTGCATAACTGACCCCCGAGATCGTTCCTAAACCCAGGTGCAGACACCGTAACGGCGGTGGCCCGGGGACGGCGCGGCTGCAGCTTGCCTCCGTCAGCTGCCGTGACATGATCCA